TTGCGTCCTTTTGTCGTATTATCTACTTTCTTTCCTCGTTCCCGTCTGCCTTCTCTCCGATACCTCTTTGCGTCCGACGCGTTCGAGGCTTGTGGATGGCCGGGACGGATATATCTCGAGAACGTCGGTATCTTCGTAACTCGTGGATGGCTGGGACGGATCACGGACAAGCTTCGAATGCTTATTCAAAAGGGGCTTCTGCTTGTGTTTGAGCACGGCGTGCTTATAAAACAGCTTCCTCGTCGAAAACCGACGCTCTGGGCGACACCTACGGCAGTGAATACCGTGCTCCGTTCCCTGCCGGGAGAACCACACACGAGACATATGCACTGCACAGCGGTGTACAATAGAGCACTCTGTTACCATGAGATGTCGAGCCCGTGTACTCATCGAATGAGACTAGCGTTTTTGGGCAAGGAGGTGGGCTACTCGTAATACCCGATGCGAATATCAACTCTAAATTGAAAATCAACCCAGCGAGGTATACCGAGGGACTGCTAGACTGAGGGGTAGCAACGGTCCCCTTTAGAAGCAATGATAAATGATGACGAACTGATGGACGTACCGACTCGTGACCTGGAAGACTCCCCCGATCCCGCTTGCCCGCATCATCTAACTCTGGTGGGGCTTCTCCCGATTCAACTGTCTGGTTTTCTCCGTCTTCTCGACCTTCCGATCTTTCAGGATGCTTGAAGGCATCTGCATCGATTATACGACCCATCATTGTTGCCATGAATTGACAGTATAATTGAGGAAACATTGCAAGCTGAAGTTTAATGAATTTTCCTTTTCCTTTAACCCTGTAACAACCAGAACCCGGACGGTCACAAGTTGAACTCTTTCTTCACTTTTTTTGCAACTCACTTTGAAGAGATGGTTTCTGTTTGTCTTCCGTTAGCATTTCATCTTCCAGGGTCGTGGCAGCGCGTGAAGTAGAGGGCACCGTTAAAGCAAGAGACCCCGAGCTCGTGTCCGGCTTGGAGTGGTCTCCTTGGCATGGGCTCCGTGACGGCCGGTCTCCTCCATCGCCATAGACCTGTGCATCCGGGACGACGTTCCAGTTGCATCCATGTGTCGAGCGTTGCTCCCTTCCTTCTTCAACGAGTAAGCTCTGTAGGGTGTTCAAAAAGCGCAAGGAATGAGGTTATTCTTACTTGGCTTGGTATAGTAAGATCGGTCTAGGACGCCAAGTTTTATTGCTGCCCTTGGAACGAACTAATAAAAGTACACATATTTATCATATTAATAGTTGCCTTATGGACCCTCCCATGAGATTCCGAGAAGATTTATAATGCACTTCCCCTCTCCTATTCGAATCACGAAGATTCTGTTTTGAGTCCCTGCTACGCTCATCGCGTTTCTGGTGTTCTCTAAAAAAACGTATCATCAGAATCATCCTTGACGAAGCAACTCTTATCCCACGTCGCCTTCTGCTCCCTGAACCAAATTTCTTCACTTTTCGAGGCAAGTTCTATTTCACGCATAAAATTAGTCTTTCTCGGCCTTCCCATGACCGACTTTGTATGAATTTGAAATATCGAATAGCTCAAAAATGACTCTTTTGGCACGTGTGCAAATGAGGGCATACCTGTGATCTGTGTGGTAAGGGTCCAACAAGTGGAGTGCTGGAATCAGGAGCCGGCGAAGTCGCCTCCGCCGAACTAGCTGAAGAAAAAGAAAGAACAACCCAGGGTGCCTTTCTTCAAACGCCGATCATAAAAGCAAGAATGTGCCCGTGATGAAGCAGAACAAATTGAAGTCTCACTTAAGCAGGCATGTTTGGTCGGTGCGTGGTGGCAATAGCCGCACCTTATATAATCTCCTTCCCGCATGTAGCCCGTGCACTCACACGCAAGCTCGAGGCATCCTCCGCGCTTCACTCCTCGAGGATCAGTGGTCATGCTTCAAACCTATTCAATTTAGCCGAAATGCCAATCATCCAAAATGTCTAGCCTTGGAACTTGCAAACGGGAGCCAGCCTGCCCCACGGGTCTAGGCCTTGCAAGACTGGCCTAAACGTGTGCATGTTTACAACTATATGCCAACGTTAGCGTTACCAGAATCCCAAATTTATTCGGGCGCTAAGCGTGCATTTGAAGTGAGAGGAAAGCAGTGCTTTTCATTCGCGCGGGCAACCTATTAAAGCAAAAACCTGAGGCGTAGGCTAGGATCAGAGCGACACTACACTCTTAGAAAAAGGGGAACGATTTTTCTCAAAAAAGAGAGTAAAATCACTAACTCCAGTTTCACTCCCCTTCCACTCTGGGAAAGGAACGAATTTGCTCCATCACCAAGGAGTAACATTGCTCTCCTCCTCCGTGAGTAAAAACCCTCCCCTCAGAAAGAAATAGGGATGTCATGCAAATTCTCATATATACTGTGTCGCTTTCGCTCTCGTACAGTACAGGCGTTGACCTACCTCTGACTGTACTGATCACAACACATGCCAGAGGGTGGACCACCTCTTTATGATTCCGTGAGTTGTCCGGGATATCTATCCTTCACTCCCTCATGAAGTTGAGGGGTGGTTGAATAGAAGTTCACATACCCTCTCCTTGTATTCTATATCTTCTATTTTGGTAGAACCTTATGCTTTCCAAAAGGGTTCTCAATAGGAATTTGAACTTGTTTATGGCCTGGACTCCATGAATATGTCTTGAATTTGTGGATAAAAAATGATGAAGTGTCCGTGTTTATTGATTCCTATAATGAGACTAGGCGAGACATATGGGGAGGTACTAAACAATCCTGGAGGGGCGATTCCAGGGAAAGAGGGAAGGGAACTTTTGTGTTCTGTGCGAAAAGCGAGACACTTATCTCCATCTAATGGCCTGGCGAAGAACTTCAAGGTATTCACTTCAAAACGAACGATGAGGGAGCATTTGGTGAGTAATAAGAGAGTAAATTTGAAAAGCTCACAGTGTGCTCACTTTTTGCTCCCTAAACGCTCGGAATTTTCTAAGAGTGTAGGATCGTAGAGTTGAGAGTGTAACAAGAGGCAACACTCCGAGGGGTGGGGGAAGGTCGAAATATTACAGACATCTGGGGGCTTGTTATCGCCAACACTTCCGTGGCTTGGGGCGTGCTTCGTGACAGCGGAATCGGGAATCGACTCATTCGAGGATTCGACTCTAAGGGAGTCCTCAACGTAACACGCGTGTCTCTTGAGTCCGCTGCTCGGCCATAGAGGAGTTGTTGATGTGCGCACGCTAGGTGGAGATCGACAGCGACATCTATATTGCGACCCTGTCAATGGATAGGATTCGAGCAGAGTGTTGCCTCTAGTTACACTTTCTTCTCTTTGCTAGGATGAAGCAATCTCTCTTCCCACCAATCACGCAGTTCTTTTTTTTATGTAGACCTACACTAATCGTGAGTCATGCACGCATCCAGTGAGGGGCTCAAAACAAAGATGATGGAACGAGCACCGCACTGATTCATTGGGCACCACACGGCGGCGCCAAGGCTCTCTTCAGAGCACGAAGCGTATAAGGACCAAAGAGTGAGTGGGTGGGCGGCGTACCCATCGCACCGATGGGTGCGCCGCCATCAGAAGTCGAGTCGTGGTTCACGAGACAAGTTGGCACGTCGCCAAAACGCTCAGGTTTTGATACAAACAGCATTTTCTGCTTTCTAACCCACGTTGCATGGACTCTAGAGAGCACAGTCTGTCCGTCAACATATCTGCTACGTCAAAAATTAAAGGGTTAACTACCAGAATAGTTAATTGGGGCCATATCTGGTGAGGAAAACCAGATACGAGGCAACGTAGCCCAAGGTGCCGATATCGTGTGATATATTCCGAATTTAAGATTTCGAGGATTGGCAATCCGAAGCATAGTCGACAAAATATGCGTAGAACGATGCCGAAACTTGGATACAAATGGCTTGCAGATTCACGAAGGAGATTTTGAGCTGGGAAACGAGATGCAAGTCGAGTGCATTCGAACCGCTCGACCTTCGGTTGGATCGACAGAGGAGGATGGAGTTGGGAAGACGCCGACTGGGAAAAAGTCAACTCCTCTCGTTCCTTCAAATCGCATCCCTTTCTCCCACGAACCCTGCCTTCACGGACTGAAGAAATACAGACAGTGCGCGGGAAGTTCCTTGACCTTGGGGGCAACGGGAAAATTTCCATCGAGTCTAGCTTAAAGAAAAGCCAGAAGTGATCCATCTCCCATCTATTCAGCAACTGGATGGCAGTGATTCTTCCGTCCATGCAAAGTTTCTCAGGTACAAAATAAGATCCCAACGCATGGTAGGAGGCGCCGCCTGACCTTCCCTCTGTCCTGGTCTTCGCGACCGAGGTGTACACGATTGGGGTCCCATCGCGGGATGGATGAGGCTCTCAGTCATCTGAACGCGAGAGGAGCTGGCTTTTTCTCTGTCGTCATCTTCCCGACTCCATCCTCGGTGGATCCAACCGAGAGGCGAGCGGTCCGAATGCTCTCGACTCGCGTCTCTTTCAGTATTCATCCACTTTTAGGCCTACGTCCGATCATTAGAACAAAAAAAATGTATTCCATGGCTAGAATATTTGGACATGGGGTGCCCAAATAACCCACCGAGTATTGATTCGAAAGAAATGGGAACAGACAAGCAGGAAGCACCAAGACTGAAAAATCTTGACATCACAGCATAATTAGGTAAATATACAAGGCTGATGAGTGGATAGCATCACCAACTAAGCACAAATTTTCGTTCAGTAAATGGTTGAAATTGCTGAAACAGTAAATGAAGAAGCCAATTTTCCAGGTATTTTTTACGAGCCACTGCTTCGGAAACAGTCTCTATGTAGTGTAGCACTTCACATACGATAGTCGGTCCTACTATGTTCCGACTCAGCGTCACCACTGCAATTGGCATGCTTTTATATAGGGTGCCCAGATACCCCGACCTGCCCAAAGTCGACCACTCTCCCCTTCGGGGGAAACGGCAGGTTTATTGAAACCTTTGAAAGCGGACAAAGAGTTGGAGACGAGAGAGAAATGGGATTGGCATTTTCTTTTTTTTTTTAATAATTCAGGCGTTATAGCGATCAGAATGGATAAGAAAGAAATCTCCTTACGAACGGCGTTATAACTTAGCCGATAGCCGAAGTCGTTTACTGGGACAAATCTCCGAAAGAAAGAGTTTCAGCCAGGTCTCAGCGCTCAGGCATACCGTCATTTATTATTTGGTCCAGGTAACCATGACCGTATACGGCCAACCGTTGATTTGGAACATATACAATTAATAAACCTGCAAGTACTCGGTTTGATAGCATCATTGTGGGTGTGGTCCAACTCGATCGTTCCATTCACTGGTGAAATTTTGAAATTTGTCCTCCCATTGCTTCTTGACGTTTGGGTTGTCGGTCGGCTTCTGCGATGGGGTGATGGGTGGCGCGACAACCGTTTCGTCACCGTGGAAGTGGGAGAGGTACTTCTTGTGCCTGATCAAGGTACTCACCTTCTTGAAGGGCTTGTCGCACCGGCTGCATTCGAGAAACTGGAGCTCTGCGTCGAGGAGCTTCCCGTCTCGCAGGAGCAGCTGTGGGCAGTTGGGACGATGGTCGGCGAGGAACTTGTTGCGGCTGAACCATTCTCCGCAGTCGAGGCACGGGCAGCCCGACTTCTCGTCTCCGTGGCGCGAGTACAAATGGAATCGGTGGCTGTCGTAACTCGGGAAATCCTTTCCGCAGTGGCTGCAGATGCGACGTCTCCTCATCCGTTCCGCGTCGCGTCGAGTGGACGCGGACGGTCGCGGCCGCGTCGATGGGGATCTGAGGAGTGCCGTGTCGCTGGCGGCGACGCTCCGCTTCGCCTTCTTCTTTCTTTCCAAAGGCTTCTGGTCGTGATCGTGGATGCCGTGCTCATAAATTTGTCGCTTCGACGAAAACCAACGGGGAGGGACGCACCTTCTGCAGTATACACCATCTGGGGATTCGTACTGCAAGAACAGAACACAAAATAATAGGCTGTAACACGAGAATAGCGATAAGGGAGCATTAAGAAAATATCCAGACGCATGTATAATGCTGTCACGTCACTTAAACGTGACACGATATTTGGTTTTACGATCAACAGCCGTTGGCAGTGTCAGGTTTTAGAAAATGTATTTTGTCACTCACAGGCATATCAATCTCCAACCCAAGACGTTTCGAAACGCGTTTTAAATCATTCAATATTTTCATATTTTCCAAAACAAAATTGCGCGGTTTTCCTCGCATGCATAAAAACCTCGGAAGAACTTTGTGAACCACAAGAAAAAATAATCCCAATAATTTCGTTTTAAGGTTACGGTTCACAGGTGCGCGGTTTAACCACCCCAACTCGTTCTTGCAGCATGGTTTTATCATTTGAAACGCTTCTTCATAAATGAAAGTAAAATCCTTCGTTGAAATAAAATGTTCATGGTATGCCAAGTCGCCCCTCCCCAAGACGACGTTAGACGGCTGCGAAAAGGAGTTTGCGAAATTTGTACAGATTTTCTGCATCAAAATGTCGTTCAGGTTAATAACTTTTCTCACCGAAGAAAAGAGGCTTGGAGGGAGACCCGAACGAGCCGTAGTTGCTTTGAATCGTGCGACTTGTCACCAAAAATTCTCCCTCTTCTCGCGCACCATCTAGAGGGATTTTTGACGAAGTAGCGTCCTGTGAACCGTAACCTTAACGCATTGACCGCCACATGACACGCCAGTGTGTCACATTCACCATAGGGAAGAGCAGTGGTTCCAAACCTTTTGGCGGTCAACGTGTTAAACAGTTGATATTCGTTGGAACTCATCCCGGCAAGATTTCTTCGGAGAAATTCAGTCGGCCGTGAGCCGAAAACTCACCGATTCGTGAATTATGGGTTCCTTCTGGGTCAATTCATTCCGCTGTGGTGCTGCAGGCTTTTTTGGCTCCTTCATCTGCTCTCCTGTCTTTATTGCTTTCTCCGTTCCTGCAGGACAGGGAGACGTAACGTCACGTATGATAACGCAGATGAGAAAATAATACCCGCAGAACTTTGATCGGGGATCTCTTTTTCGATTGATTGATAACCAGTTAATGATGAATACCGACGGTTAACCGACTTTTCAAAGTTGTTTCCACGCGAAGGTGAATTGTTGAAGGAAAAGTGATGGGAACATGGCGCCCTGACAGGCGGCCGCACGTTCCAACCGTTCCTCTTTCCGTTTGTCTTCGTCTTTGTCCTGTGTGTTGTTTCCGTAAACTTCCTGGCCTTCCCTAAGCAAAAAGTTAGCCTCTTTNAGAATATTTGGACATGGGGTGCCCAAATAACCCACCGAGTATTGATTCGAAAGAAATGGGAACAGACAAGCAGGAAGCACCAAGACTGAAAAATCTTGACATCACAGCATAATTAGGTAAATATACAAGGCTGATGAGTGGATCGCATCATCAATTAAGCACAAATTTTCGTTCAGTAAATGGTTGAAATTGCTGAAACAGTAAATGAGGAAGCCAATTTTCCAGGTATTTTTTACGAGCCACTGCTTCGGAAACAGTCTCTATGTAGTGTAGCACTTCACATACGATAGTCGGTCCTACTATGTTCTGACTCAGCGTCACCACTGCAATTGGCATGCTTTTATGTAGGGTGCCCAGATACCCCGACCTGCCCAAAGTCGACCACTCTCCCCTTCGGGGGAAACGGCAGGTTTATTGAAACCTTTGAAAGCGGACAAAGAGTTGGAGACGAGAGAGAAATGGGATTGGCATTTTCTTTTTTTTTTTAATAATTCAGGCGTTATAGCAATCAGAATGGATAAGAAAGAAATCTCCTTACAAACGGAGTTATAACTTAGCCGATAGCCGAAGTCGTTTACTGGGACAAATCTCCGAAAGAAAGAGTTTCAGCCAGGTCTCAGCGCTCAGGCATACCGTCATTTATTATTTGGTCCAGGTAACCATGACCGTATATTCCCAATTTTATTTACGGCCAACCGTTGATTTGGAACATATACAATTAATAAACCTGCAAGTACTCGGTTTGATAGCATCATTGTGGGTGTGGTCCAACTCGATCGTTCCATTCACTGGTGAAATTTTGAAATTTGTCCTCCCATTGCTTCTTGACGTTTGGGTTGTCGGTCGGCTTCTGCGATGGGGTGATGGGTGGCGCGACAACCGTTTCGTCACCGTGGAAGTGGGAGAGGTACTTCTTGTGCCTGATCAAGGTACTCACCTTCTTGAAGGGCTTGTCGCACCGGCTGCATTCGAGAAACTGGAGCTCTGCGTCGAGGAGCTTCCCGTCTCGCAGGAGCAGCTGTGGGCAGTTGGGACGATGGTCGGCGAGGAACTTGTTGCGGCTGAACCATTCTCCGCAGTCGAGGCACGGGCAGCCCGACTTCTCGTCTCCGTGGCGCGAGTACAAATGGAATCGGTGGCTGTCGTAACTCGGGAAATCCTTTCCGCAGTGGCTGCAGATGCGACGTCTCCTCATCCGTTCCGCGTCGCGTCGAGTGGACGCGGACGGTCGCGGCCGCGTCGATGGGGATCTGAGGAGTGCCGTGTCGCTGGCGGCGACGCTCCGCTTCGCCTTCTTCTTTCTTTCCAAAGGCTTCTGGTCGTGATCGTGGATGCCGTGCTCATAAATTTGTCGCTTCGACGAAAACCAACGGGGAGGGACGCACCTTCTGCAGTATACACCATCTGGGGATTCGTACTGCAAGAACAGAACACAAAATAATAGGCTGTAACACGAGAATAGCGATAAGGGAGCATTAAGAAAATATCCAGACGCATGTATAATGCTGTCACGTCACTTAAACGTGACACGATATTTGGTTTTACGATCAACAGCCGTTGGCAGTGTCAGGTTTTAGAAAATGTATTTTGTCACTCACAGGCATATCAATCTCCAACCCAAGACGTTTCGAAACGCGTTTTAAATCATTCAATATTTTCATATTTTCCAAAACAAAATTGCGCGGTTTTCCTCGCATGCATAAAAACCTCGGAAGAACTTTGTGAACCACAAGAAAAAATAATCCCAATAATTTCGTTTTAAGGNACCTAAGACGTCAGAGTATCACCTTAGGGTACGGAAAATCCCTTCTCACCAACCCCTCCCGACGTCATATTCTTCCACCCCTAAGACGACCATACTCCATGAAACTACGTCTTGACACATCATCCCTTCTTAAAGAGTTTAGGTGCCGCACGGAACGGTTTTATCGTTCCCCCGTCCCCTTCATTATCAGACTCTTGAACCAGTCAATCTGAACCCTATTGCGACTTATCCTATTGTTGAATCTCGTTGTCTTGTGACATGTTTGTATCTCACGACGGGACCTAATTTGCCCAGCACAACAGTCCCCGATTTTGGAATAAACCCATTATTAATAAACCCATTATTAAAGAAGTGGCCTGGACGGAACACATGTTCTTCCCATATTCTCGTCAGAGACCGACACGTGTCGTAGCGGTTATTCAAAATCGATCTTCAATGACCGGTTAATAAATAAACAAAAGTCGGTCAGTCATATTTCGGAAGTTCTCTTTAAATCTTCATTTTCTTCATGGAATTTTTTTTTCGCTTCTTGCATCCCGAAGTAACTCTCTTGCTCTTTAACTGATCTGATCTTAGATTATTATGAAAAATAGAAGTCTTCAGAGTCAATGTTGCTTTTTTTTCGATCTGAGAATGAAGGAAGGTGGTTTCCCCAACACGATTTTTCAGACGAAATAGTGGCTTCCTGAATTTTGACTGGACAATAATGGCCGAAGTTTTTGAACTCATGTGTTGAGAATGAAAGTTTTCGTCGCACTGACATTGGTGATGAAGAAAAGGAGGTTCGATATCAATGTAAAGAGGGATTTCTTCCATGGCCTTCATCTAATATTGTCATTGAGAATTTCATACGAACTGATCATTGAGTGCCGCCTGTGCCCCCAATTGAATACATTTTGATATAGATTAGTCTTGAGATTAAGATTGAATTTTAACCGAGCCCCTTCACTCTTCCCTTAATGCGGTGGACGAAAGAAATAATTCCATTTCAAGTACAGGGTGGCCGAAAAGTCACCGTACCCCCATCTACCTTTTCATATATTTTCATATATTTCATGAATAGAGATCTAAAAATACCCGTTGCACATCCCACATGACCGCTTAACACAACTGTGCGTGAGCCTTGCGCGAAACGGTGCATGCGCGACCGGCTAGGCGACTTCTCCGACAGCTCAGCAGAATTCAGTTTTGGCGGTAACAATTTCGAACAGCAGTAGCTACACCATTGAGGAGCGCTTAGTGGCGAGTGTGTGGGTGCATGAAAGACAGCACACCGAACAGGTGATGGACTAGGTCAGTAGTCGGCAACCTACGGCCCGCGAAGAATTTTCATCTGGCCCGCCACGACCTTGGTCGGACTGCGCTAAATTTTTCTTAAATGAATCCATGAAACCTGGACCTCATCTCTTCCTCACAGTAGCCTCGTTTATCTTTGGAAAGGAGAGAATATAGTTTCAGTGTTCTGTGCTCTTATTGCCTGCTGATGACCTGCGATTTTCTGATAATCGAGCCATTATGAACCTTCGCCAGCGCGTGAGGTGACGGGTTTGCAAACGCAGAGGACTTGGTTCGGACTTAAACCTCGAGAAACGCTACTCCTTCTTGTTGTACCAGCACGCGCGCCCTCCGTACCGCCTGTCCTTTGTTTTATGCTGATGGAATGAGATCTGCACTTTTCTTGGCTTTCGGAGGCTGGTGTGTTGGTGGACGTTTTCATTTTCTGTTTTATTGTGAACCTGCCCTTCCGCCATGTCCCTGTCAAACTCAGCAAAAAAAGCGAAAAGTTGGCTTCGAGTGTTGGGTGTTCAGCGACCAGCGGACACACGATTACCTGCTTGTGCAGTTCTAAGATAAGGCAGTTTGTCTTGTCCGTAAGGAGAGCGTTTCGGTGTCCAAGGAATATAGCAGTAGGCGCCATTACGAAGCACATCATTAAGATAAGTATGACTCTCTGAAAGGCCAGATCAGGACTGACAAGACAGAGGCTCTGAAAAAGGCCTTGTTTGCTCAGTGGAATATTTCTAAGATGAGAGTGCAGGAAAACCTGACTCCAGTTCGAGCTAGTTATCATGCCATTAAATTGTTAGCAGAGGCACAGAGTTCGCACTGAAAGAC